TGGACTCTTTTACCATTCCAGGCCTTTGTCTGGGTGATTCTCAGCCCACATTAACTGAGAAAGTCCCCTTGGTTCTGTCCAGTCCTGCAGATGCCAGTCCCTGGCTCTGGGAGTTCTGGATATCCTGTGTGTCCTTCTGGTCTCCTCAGCCAGTTGTACCAATGTCACATAACGAGGAAAAACAAGCTCCCCCTGGTCCTTACTCCCATTTGGGTTCTCTGCTTATTCAGGAAAAGGCTTACACTACCTTTTTATGCAAAGGCATCACACCAGGACTTCATGTTCTGTTATTTTTCTACTACTATGAATCCTTGATCTTTTCCAGTCATTGCTTTCAAAGACAGTATTCCATTCTGCTGATGAAGTACTTCACTTACATCTGCTCAGACCTAATAAACACCCCAGAACTGAAGGTCCATCACTGTTGCTGAAAATACTTGTTTGAATTATCATTTAAGCAGTCATATCCCTCGCTCATTCAGATGTTGCAGAACATAAATAATAAGAAATCATTCCAAAGAAATCTGCATTGCAGTCATCATCAAAGTGAGTAAATAAAGAAAACTGACAGGACCTCTCACAGAAAGCAAATCACTGTGATCTTCACAGAGAAAGGTGAAGGATTTCTTTTTCTTCTTTTCTTTTTAATACAGTTTTTCTTCTAGATTCAGAGTCTTTCATGTTAAATTCAATATTTTTAGCACCCACACGACCATCTAGAATTAAATTGCAGCAGTTCCTTAGCATCTGAGTAAGAAAGCAAGGATAGATCACTGTGATTCTCCTGTCCTTGTACAGAATCAAAGAATCATTTACTAATAGACTGAATCGCTTCCAAAAGCAGAAATCACACAGCTCCATCTTGTGGAGGATGAGATTCCTTGTGTAATGTCACAGCTCAGTCAGCTTCTGCCTTTGGTAATGATTTAGCCTTAGGTGTTTTTCCACAGGGTTTTACTTACTGCAGAAATTTTCTTTCACGTGCAGTTTACACACCTTCACCAAGAGCAGGAACAATCTGCACAGTGTTTTTACTTATATTCTTCTGTTTCATTTTATTTTCCCATAACATTCTCCCTAACAGGTCCATGCTTCAACAGTTCATATTTGTACCAAGTGGTGCAGAACCAGCTATTTAATTTTTCTTCTATTCTCCTGTAAGAGGTTGAATACCTTTCAGAAGTGTCCTCAGTGAACACACCATACATTAGTACTAAAAATGTTTGATTTTCAGCCTAGTGGTCCTTCTTAGCAGGAAGCATTTGCAATGCAGTTTAGATGACACAAAAATGCAGAGCAGCAGAGTTTGTCTCGTTCGTGTAACACAGAACCCTAATCTGTAATGTTTCCATAATCCAATGCTATTAAAGCAAATCATGTCAGAGGAACCAGGTAACTTTCCACGACAAAAAATGGCTTCCTGGATTCTGGAGACAACTGTGGCATTGATCCTTATTCCCTTGTTACAGAATCAGTGTCCTACCAAGAGCTTCAGAAGGGATCACACCCCAAAAACATCCATGTCACCACAGGCACTCCACACAAACCATATCTGTGCCATGCTATCAAGAAAATTTTAATTTTTATATTTTTGACTGTACATTTTACTTAAGGAGAGCACATTAAAACAAGTTTATCACCAGAGGTCTACAAACTGCAATTCCCCAAGGTAACAGCAAGTAACTCACTGTAAAGGCTTCACAAGATATTCTAATGTTTCAAACCCTACTTTTTTTTGGAGCAGAAGGTATTTCTCAAAAGTCTGATGTAACACTCCTCTATCAGATTCTCCCTGCCTACATTCAAGAAGTTTTATGAAAAAGCAGCAAATAATGTGACTCCTGGGACTGCTCACAGGTGACTCTGGGAACTTATTTCCCATTAATATGAAATGTGTGAGGGGTCAAAAATGACCGCAAACATTCCCTCAAGTCTTCTAATTTAATTAAAAGGATAAATGATCCTAAGTATTTTCATCTTTTTAATTAGTTTTAAATTAATTTTCAGTGTGAGAGCCAGAAGTCCTAAGAGAGAAAGTAAGGAATTGCTCATAGGAGCTTCTACCAGATCTGCATGATGAATGTCAACACAATAACCAAAACCAGCTGCTTATTAAAATACTGGTTTGGACTACAACAGTCAGAGACTGTCTGAATTAACACATATAGGCAAAAAGAAAGCAGCAGAGAAAAATCTCCTTAAAACAATCCAAACTCTGTGTTTTCAACTAACATGCTGGGACTTAAGGGGGAAAAAAAAACAGAATAGCATCTTGATTGTTTCCCTACAAAGGATATTCCATGCCCCTATTGAGATGATTCATCACCACTTCACTCCCCTGAATTCATCTTCCATACTGAGAAACATTATGGCATTTCTCCCTCCTGGTAGAAGTCAAAATAGCAACTCTCTAGATATGAGTGACAAGAAAAAATACCTCATCTCTTCTGCTAACACTTCTTTATTGTATGAAATTTCAGGAACGGTGTTGACTTGATTTCTTTTTATTAAGTCTTGAAGTGATTTTTGTTTCCCTGAGAAGCATTAGTATTTCTCTGAAACACTGAAAACCAAAATCTACAGAAAGGATGAAGAAAAAGAACCACAGGAAAAGGCCTTTCAAGGTTCACACCCCACTCCACCAAGAGCTGTCAGTCCTGACAAGGAACAGCTCCCTGTGCCCGTGGGTGGATGCCCCAGTTCATCTGTATCCAGGCAGCCTTTGGGCTGAACCTGCCAAGAGGGTTGGCAATTAGTGCCAATCAGGACAGGTTTGGCTGTGATATGGACACCCAGGCAGGAGACACTGGGCTGATCCCATCAAACCACTTTGCACAGGTATCTAAAGCCCCTTTGTGTGACTTTGTGACCTTCAGTTACTCCCAAGATTAGCCACAGAGACATTGAAAACATATTCCTTCATCAAAAAAACCCTTCCACTGTGCAGTTTTTAGCTGGAAGTTCTCTTGGGCTTTTCAAGGAAGTGCCAAGAGACACTGCCAGAAACACAAAGTCATTTGTCCAATAGGGCTACAATTATTTCACTCCCCAAAAGCAGGAGATTAAAAATTATGTTAACTAGGATAAATATTGAGAAAGTATTAAAGCATTATTACAAGACAAACCAAGCAATAAAAGAGTTGCTGACTATTACAACTTCTACTTAAATACTTTACAGTGATGCTCTGTGCTGCATATGGTGCTTAGAAGCTGCATAATTACACACATTTATTCATCCTTAACATACGTATTTTCATTACTTTGGCACACACCATTAAAACTGAAATGTTATCAAAACATGGCATTGGAAATAATTTAGTATTTCCTATTTCAGACCCAAAAAACCAGATGATTAAGTGCTACCTATGAGGAAGGTCATTCTAGTTAAAAAGAGGACAAAGTATGGCACAAGCACCCGAATCTGCTTGTTTCCCAGTTGTCTATTTATCTATTCCTTTTCCAATCCGTGTGTATTTTGAACAAGGCATTAAAAGTATAATCCTGATTTCCCTGGTAATCTAAATGGGAGATTTGGCTGCAGGAGAAATCAAACCTCAGCTTTAGGGCAGAGAGAAATGAAAAGTAAAATGCCTAGAAGACTTTGCAGGTAAGCAGTTTTAGTATAAAGGCTCTTGTTTTATTATGCATGGAGTATGATTCTTTGGATTCTAAAGTACTTTAATCAATGTTCAAGGGTTTTTAAGAACCTCATTATATATCTCTTTTGCAGGATTATGAATATTTGCAAATGAGGTCACGTAGTAAAGCTTCAAAGGCTAAAAAGTTAGATCAAGATATATTTTCTAAAACTCTTCAAAATATTTCAAAATCAGAAGTGCTGCCCAATATGCATTGCCACATTCAGCATCAGCATTCTCTTTGAATTTTAGCAACATCATTTTTAATATATATATATTACTCTTCTCCTGCCTCACTGTTTTCCTATGATGATGATTACATCTGCACCATTTTATCCAAAAGTAAGCAGTAAGAGTTTAATTTAAATAAAATTAAAATAAAGGTACAAAATTAAAGCTCCATATACTAAAGACTGAGCTGATGAATTTAATTTAATTTTCTAAGCAAGAGTGTGCAAGGATTAATAAATATAATTAGATTATGGTTGAGCACTTCTATGGCAGTTTTGTAACTATCCTTTCTAAGGAGTTTTCTGTTTATTAGAGGAACCAAAAAAACCCAAAGCTGGATCAACAGGGACTTCATAGATTTATAAAAGTATGTTAGAGTTACAACTTCAGTTTTCTAAATTTTTGTATGGTGGGTCACTCGGTATTTTGCACAAGTAAATGTATTCAGTGTTCAGGTATATTATATATATATTTATATATTGTATATATATACTTGTACAGGATGGAGAAGAGTGAGAAGTTCTGTGCAAAGTCCCCAGAGGGGAGAGAGTGGTTGGTAACAGCACAAAGAAAGATGGGAAGGCAGATTTGGTACATTCAGAGCATGACAAAGAAGGCACAGCAGAAGAAAAACTACTTACCCATAATGAGTTATTAATGGTACTGAAATTGTACCATTCATCTGTTAAAATGAGTATGCTTGACTGTAGATTTTCTTGTCAGTCTATATATTTTGATTATATGCACCACACAGCTCAGCAGTAAATTACTGCAATTAACTTTGATTCCTCAGGATCCACAGCAGAAGCATATCCATGTCTCGTGGCAGAATCTAGAATTCAACTCTAAATTCTTGTCTAAAGTGCTTGTGCAAAGCAAGTGGTTACTTTGAAAAGTGCTGGCAAACTTCAGCAGAAATTCTACAGAGATCTAAGGCTATAATGGTTGTTAAATTTCTTGTAAGAAAAAAACTTTCTAAAAAAAAATCCAGAGAAAATTTAGTATATCCATCACAGTAAAGTCTGGGGAAGAGTTGAACAGCTTGAGGTGATTTCTTAACAAACACCTTATGCACTCAGCCACCATTTTTGTGTACCAAATACAGACACTTCAATGAGAGTCATAGCTTACAGATAAGATGTTTTCCATGCTGTTCTTTGAAATTTGAGTAGCACATCCCCTGTGAAAGCAGCACCGTTCCATCTGTGCAGCTCTAGAGTCAGACACTTCCTCTCACAACAAATCTGCGCAGCTCGCTCGGTTTGGGCTGTGGGAGCACAAAAGAACTTGTCACAAAACAACCTGCAAATAATCAGACACAAGATGCAACCCTCTAGAAGAAAATTATAGCCCTACTTTGGTGAGGACAAACCACAAATCAAGTGTCAGCAGAGGCTGGGACAGGGAAGAGACAAAATATAAGAATGAAGGGAACTAAGAGAGGCTCCCCAGTAGAAGATCTGCAAGGAAATAGTGAGTAACACAACAACTCACCCTCTGAATTAAATTGGACAGCATGAGAAGAGTCAATACAGACATTTGTTTCTGCTAAAGAACTCTAATAGTTCCCATGTATGACACATGCTCTTGGGGTCTTGTTTTCATAACTTCCCACTGAACTACTGGGCAATTCCCAGCACTGAATGAATTTAACTTACAAAGTGTGCTTTTCTGATTTGTAAAAGTTACTGAGTGGAACTATTAATTGTGGCAATATCACTGGAATATAATTCAGAAAATGATACAGAGATAGTAGAAATAATGGATAATTTTGTCATAACTCACAAATCCTGTGAATAGATCATTCACAGGCAAAAGGCAGCAGGAACTGGACAAAATCTACTTGTCATGACTTGCTTTTGATATCACAGTAGAGTTCAGAGACCACAAATAGCACTTGGTCCTGTTTTGGTAGTGCACAAACACGAAGGATTTTACAAGCTGTGACACCACTTACTCCAGCAAACAGCCAGCAAAATTAAAAATGTCCACACATCCCAACCACTCACAGCTCAAAGTGTGGTCTGGCTGCATGAGGACAATGCCCTGGGAACTGAAATGGCTCTGGCACACATCCATGTGCCACTCAGCTCCAAATGTGGGGCCATGGTAATGGTGGTTTTTAACACTGCCAAATTATTCACTATGGCTTTGACAAACACAGCAAAGCCATGGCTAATATAGCTGCTCACTTCCCCCCAGTAGATCAACAAATACCCCCTGCAGCTCCTTAATAAAGTTAACTTGCACCATTCAGCTGGTAAACAAAAACCCTTGGAAACAATGAGGAAGCAGTGCCATGCATATTCAGAGAGTTGTAATTGCTATGGAAACCATCTCTAGTAATAGAGTCTTGCTTCAGAGCATCAGAGGCAAATCAGAATAAAATGACAGCAAAACAAAGTGTAATACTGCCTGAGACTTCAAAGTCCAAAACTGAGCAGGGAATTAAACCACTGTGAAGGAAAAGCCTTCATGTTCTCCCATCTTCCAGGTTCTTTTTGGAGCATATTTATGGGGATGAGCTCTTTGGTTTGTTTTCTGCCTGGGCTTCCCAAATTGCTGCTGAAGCAGCACTGAGGGCTGGCAGCATCACTACAGTTGTTACAGGAAAAGGAAACTGTTTCTTCAACCTATAAGTAATTGTAATTTTATTGTTAGAAATTTTGGGAAGCTTGAAAACATGTAACTCCATTCTAGCAGTGCTGTTTGGTTTCAAGCCTCAAAAAGACTGATAATAGGGTCAAAGAGGGTAACAGGGTCAAGGATTCCGAGGTCATTGATGGCAGAAATTAGCTTTAATTTATTTTATTTTAGATTTTAGAATATTATATGCCTTGCTTTCATTTCTTTTATATGAAATGTTCTCAATTTATTTTACTGTATTTGTACTACATGAACATGTTAATGGGTAGTGCAGAGTATTTTAAACATTTCATGTCATTTCCTTGCAGCAGGTTGCCCACTGATACACCAGAGCTTATCCCACTACTGTTCCTAATCAACCCCTACACCTGTTTCTGAGTTTCATCATACTAATTTTCAATGTATTTGCTGAATAAAATTAGTAAATGCAATATGCCTACACCTACTAGTCCAAATTATGTCCAAAGTCATTACTGCAGATGCACTAGCCTTGATTCTCTCTGGGTACATAATTCCAAGAAAGAAACCAACTCAGATATTGTTTCAGAGGTACACTGCATGTCAAACATTAAACACTCATATTTTTTTTTTCAGGTACATCCCATCCCATTACAAGTGCATAAAGCAAAATTCCACAAACATTTGATTTATTAAGACTTAAAGTAATAAGCCATTATTGGAGTTGTTTATAAGCATCAACTCATGCTTTTTAAAAAGTCACTGAACTGAAAATTCCACACACCTGCCTGTGAACAATTGTGACAAGGATTTTGGTTTATGGTCATGTGAACTTTGCCTTTCCTACTTTTCCTTTTTTTTTGTTAGGGTCTTCTAAGCCAACCTTCTAAGTTGGTCTCCTGTCTAGAGACCAGCCAACTTCCCATGAAAAACAAACTCTAGGAAACACCTGTTTTCCACATTACAGTCAGTCAGATGTGAGCAAAATCCACATTTGCTCAAGCAAAGCACAGGATGCAAATTTTGCTCTATCACTCTTCTTATAACCAGGAGGCAAACAATAACTATTCTCACAGAATGCCATTTGCTTTAGCATTAATCCCCCAACATTTCTTTGCTGAATGTGAACAGACAATCCTGCCCTGTGATCACAGCCTTTTCTTGAGAGCTGTTGTCATCACAAAGCTCAGTTTATCATCCTGCCCGACCACACCCTGGGCTTTCTGGAGAAAAGGGGACCAAAATGGACAGCAAGTTACACACACAATTAAACTCATTTGTGCACAACCCAAAATAATGTTTGGTTCTAAAAATTAGTTCAGAAGAAGAAAAGATTTGTGTATAAAACATAAAAAAATTTAGCACCAATATAGCAAGGATATTGATTTTGCTTCTCTAAAATCCTCCTCTGGGATATCACCAAAGTTACCAAACTAATGTATTAAAAAAAAAAATTGCAAAAAAACCCCCCACTTCTGGTAGCACTTAGAACATTCTGCTTTTCATCAATATGTTTTTCACTTAGGGTCAGGAAATACAAATCTTCAACTAAAATTGCAAAACCAGATCTGCATTGCCACTGCTGTACAACAAATCTACACTGGTCACAATGGTGCAAATGTTTGCAGGTTGAAATATTCCCCATTGCATCATCAGCTGCTTCTTCTTTTGTTCGTAGCAAAGGAGGAAATTTGTAAAATTCCTTCTTTTACATGCAAAGCTAAACATAGCTGAGTGAATATGACCACGGCCCTCAGAAGTGTATGACAGAGTTGAATTTAAGTAACATATTAAAACACTTAATCTATCTGTCATTTTTATATATTGCCACAATAAAGAAACCTCGTTGCATTTCATAACTTTTTCATCTAGAAACTATTCAAGTGGGATATTCTACCCAGTCACCATGTGTATTATTTGTATAAGATGCACAAATAGAGGGGGGGGAATCAAAGTTGTTCAGGGTACTGAAGTACAAACTGTATGTATGTGTCTTTAAAGCTTTAAACCCAGCTTTGTAATTGTGAATTAAAAAAAAAAACAACTGTGGAAATAATTAACAGCTGCTAAATTCAATTGTGATTTACTTAAGACAAAGTACATTGAACAAACACACTTGTATGGCAATTATACCTCAGGGGGAAAGGACTGGGTAGCAGTCAGTAATTCCAGGAGTCAGTAATTCCAGGAGTCAGTAATTCCAGGGTCTCCTGGTCTGTGCAGAGCCAGTGTGGGATGAGAACTTACCTCTCCCTTGCTAATGTCCCCTATCCATCAGAGCAGAGCCCAGATCAGTTCTTTTATTGGAGTCCATTTTTAACCCAGCAAAAACATGTCATATTTAATTTTTACAATAGCTTCACTGAAGAAGAGTAATTAGGTTTTCTTTTCTGGGGTAATATTTTTGAACATATAAAGAATGTCCTGTGTGGAGACTGCTGGAGAAAAATCTGTTTCAGAAAGTGCCCCCCTCAGAACTACATGCTCTAAGACCATGAATAAATGTGGCTAAAAAATGGATTATAAAAAATTCCCTGATTATGGAACACATTTTTTCAATGTTTTTGTTGGTATTTCAAACAACAAACGAAATCAAAGATCCAATTAAAAAATCCAGAGTAGGAAATCTCACCATGTTTTCACAGCTGAAAATATGGAGTTTTACTTAAATACAAAATAAGTTTTACATAACTTGTCTAAATATTGGTTTTCCTCTCACAGGGAGTCCTCAGCTCTTTACATGATCAGTAGCAAAAGTTAATTAATATCACACAAAGGAACTTCACTAGTTTTCAGATGAGGCTGTTGTCATTACACAAATGGGCAGATTAATGACTTAGCCATGATATTTGCATTTTTCTCTTTCACAGTAAGGGCTAAAAGCTTGTCAAAATTAAAATTAAAAAAAAAAGTAGTTGTCCAAAGTGTATCATAAAGATTAATATCAATATTGGTGATCCCAATAAGGAGTGAGGCAAATAATCATCCCCCCTCCAGGGATCTGTTCCATTGCACTACCAGACAATTAACCTGACTTTCATCTACTGTGAATACGATGAAATAAATAGGTCTGTTAATGCCTTTTTAAAAGATCAGTAAATGTCTTTCTCGAGGTTGATAATGGGCTGCACTGACCATCTCACATCATCCATCAGCTTGAAAGCAGCCTATAATTTGTGTGTGTTTGTAATTCTATGTGGACTGAAGCTCCTAAAGTTACTCCAGGTGTTCATTACACATACATATAACACAAGTTTTAATATGCTTAAAATTAAAAGCAAACCTTGATTGTTGAATACAGGAATGTATTCATGCACTCCCCTCAATATCATTCTCCTGGCTTATTATTCCCAATTCAAAAATTACATAGCTAATTTGCAGACAAATTTTATTTATCCTTTTCCTACACAAGTTATTTCTTGTGGGTACGTGAATACTTTTTAAATATTACTCTAATGTTTTGGAAAGAAAAATTCCACAAAATTGAATTGCAAGATTTAGGACTAAATTCTGGTCTTCTAAGGTAACAAATGACAGCCCTCTGCTGGTTAATAATTGTGTGCCCACAAGAAGTACATTTCTCAACAGCTTTATATTAATACTATATTTAGCCAAAGTGAAAATATATAAAAATCTATATATAGTACAAAATAAAATTATACTACAGAGATGCCTGAAATATTTTAGCTGGACCATTAGAAAACATATCCTTTCTAATTCCTGTAGGAAACAGGAGGTCAAGGAAATGGCTGGTTCCTAAATTATACAGACAATTCTATAGAGTACTGGAATTCCTCAAAGAAGTAACCTTACTAGGCTACAGATTTCCACACAGGATTCAAAAATAGTAAGAAATGTTAATGGCAATCATCGTGTTATTGTGTAAGGCTTTGTTTTGGTCAGTAAAATCCATAAAAATGAAATGTTGTTCAAATAAAAACACTGCTTTTCTGACATTTTTGTGGTCTAAAATAAGTTTTAAAAGCAAACGTCACAGAGTTTACTTGCAGCCAGCTAAAAATGAGTACCAAAGCATGGTATTTGGTACAACAGTCAGCAATATGATCCAGTTTGCAGGTGTCAGCATAAAATTCAGAAATATGACACATGTATGAGAAAAATTAAGAACAGTCCCTGTATTTTATTAATTTTTTACCGATTTCTAAAAACTTGTTTTCTACTTTGCCCTGAGGCTCTGTACTGCCTTTTAAAATAGATAGATAGATAGATAGATAGATAGATAGTAAATAATTTGAACTTTTCCTATGTTAATTTAAAATATTCTGTAGCATAATTCTGACCATGTGGCAAATTCACAAAGAAGGCATTGCAAAGTGCATCTTCATTAACAGTGGCAGCTTGAGCAGGTCTGCAGCAAAAGAACATGCTGGCAGCTGTACACCCTTACTTAGAAAAACACCAGAACCCAAAAGAAAACCCTCTGCGGCTGCCAACACGTGACAGTGTGAAACAAAGAACTGAAACTATTTATTTGAATGTATTTGACAGTTGACTCAATGCCCCAATAATCCCATTTTACCAATAGAATATTGAGAGAAGTAACTGGAATCAACACCCAGTGTAAACAGGTCCCTTCCAACCCAAAGCCTTCTGTGACTTTATGATTCTGTGATGCTCAGCTGAACTGCAGGGGAACTCTGAGCAGTGTCCTTCACCTCCAGCTGCCTCTGGAAGCTGGTCCAAGGAGTCCCTCACCCCTGCGGGCACAAACAAAACAAACGAACCCCTTGGGGACCAAGGAAACAGTGAGGAACTGATGGATTGTGTGAGGAATGTGGGATAAGTTCAGTCAAGTGTTGTTTTGCTGCTTAAGAAATTAGCTTACAGGTGCCAGGTAAGAAGTAACAGAGTCACAGAATATCCTGAGGCAGACGGGACTCACAAGGATCATCAAATCCCATGCCTTAGCCCTGCACAGGACAACCCCAAATCTCACCACGTCCCTGAGAGCGTTGTCCAAACACTCCTTGAGCTCTGTCAGCCTTGGTGCCGTGACCACTGCCCTGGGGAGCCTGTTCAGTGCCCGACCACCTTCTGGGGCAATGAACCTTTCCTAAGACCCAACTTAACCTCCCCTGACACAACTTCGGGCCATTCCCTCGGGCCATGATAAACACATAATAAAAAAGGCGAAGACCGGTTACCTCACACTGACACTCAGCGCTCACACGGCCCTCACGAGGAGGATCGGGGGCGCAGCTCCTGTGGGGAGCAGGTGGGTCCTGTCCCCCATCGCTTTCCACGCCGGGGGCTCTGGATCCTCCAGTCCTTCCTGTCCCTCCTGTCTCTCCTGTCCCAGCTCTCTCTCCTGTCCCAGCTCTCTCTCCTGTCCCAGCTCTCTCCTGTCCCAGCTCTCTCTCCTGTCCCAGCTCTCCCTCCTGTCCCTGCTGTCCCTCCTGTCCCAGCTCTCTCTCCTGTCCCAGCTCTCTCTCCTGTCCCAGCTCTCTCTCCTGTCCCTGCTCTCTCTCCTGTCCCCGCTCTCTCTCCTGTCCCTCCTGTCCCTCCTGTCCCCGCTCTCTCTCCTGTCCCCGCTCTCTCTCCTGTCCCCGCTCTCTCTCCTGTCCCCGCTCTCTCTCC